CAAGTAATATTTTTTAACTCTCTGGTCATTCCTTGGAAATTTAGTCATGGAAGGAATAAAAATTCTCCTCTCAAGAGAACTTAATCCTTCTTAATTTAAAGCTTAACAGGAATACCTATTAGTAATAATTCTAATGAGGTTCATTGGGAAATATAAGCCAATATTTCCATCTGAGATGATTGAGTTTCTTTAGGTAATACTTTTACCTTTTACTTTGAAACACAGAAAAGTTACAAAACAGTATAGTGTGCTGCCTTCACCTGGATTCGCTAATTGTTTAAGATTATGTAACATTTGCTTTGTCATTGTCTTTGTGTTCTTGTGTGTGAGTATATTATAACATTAAGAGCTTGAGTCAGTTAAGCTCAGGTCTTGATCTCCTGGGTCATGGGATTGAGCCCCCCACATTGGGCTTTGTGCTCAGCGGGGAGTCTGGGATTCTCTCTCTCTGCCCCTCCCCCTGCTCTCTCTCTCTCTCTCTCTCAAATAAATAGATCTCTAAAAGAAAAGAGCTTGAGATAATCTCTATTGAAATTAATGTTCTGACTATTGAAAAAGACTACAAGAAATATCTTGCTACATAATAAATACTCTTTCAGTGCTGACACATCATTCAAGGATGTCCTAAGGAATAATAATACATTTAATGAATTGAATTTCCCACCAAATTACTAAAACACTATTTTTATGAAAATGTAGAGAGTACTTTATTATTACAAAAAAAGAATTGATCACATGTATTATTTCACATCAAGACTGCACTCCCAGTATAATGAATTAGAAACAAATTTATAATTTATTATAATTTACCTTTAGGCACACAGACATCCACAGTAGATAGAGCATTTTATAGGAATTCAAGAGAAGCATATTAAGTATTTCAAGAAGTCTCATAAAGAAAAAACTTACACGAAGTGTTAAATCTTGAGCAGGATATACTTATAGACAACTAAGGAGAATAATGATTATCAGGTAAGCAAGGAATATAGTCTTCAGTCAAGTTCATAAGATACTGCACCTAATGAAAGATCACTTCCACTTTATTTCTTAGTTTAGGTATTATTGAAAGGGCATTTATTCTCTTTGACCTCTTTTCTAAAGCACAGCAAGTTCATTTTACTTCTTAAAATGTGTAATTATCCAGTTTGTTTTAATGTTGAAGGGTTCCCTTCAACTCATGGTCACCAGATTTAGGCATAGACCAATATTCTGCCTAGTTGTGTCTGGTGTCATTGTAGAGAGGCAGTGTAGGGTGTGGCAAAAAACATGGACCATGGAATCAGAATTTCTGGGTTTGAATACAGACTCCGCTCTTCATCTTGGGTGAATTACCTAACTTCTCTGTGCTTTGGTTTCTTCATCTGTAATATGTATAATAATAGTACCTATCTTACAGAGTTGTAACTAAGATTAAATAAGGTAATGCATAAAAGAACATGCACTGAGTAAAAACTCAATAAATGTTTGTTATTTGTCTAAACACTTAACAAATTATGAATATTTATACAACAGTTATTCATTCTAATTACCTTTGGGTACCTACCATGCAGGTACTATACTAAAAATGAATAAAACCCTGCCAGACTTTAAGGAGTTCATGGCTTAGTGAAGAAGATGAATATTAAATAATCGCAACAAATAAATGTAATAAGTGTTTAAGAAATAGTACTATGGAATCGCTGAGGCAGGAGTAACTAACCCTGTCTAGGGAAGTAAGAAAAAAATTAATATAGGTGTTGGGTATATAGGGATTTATCCTGCTATTCTGATGTGTGTATGTGTGTATATTATTTGCTTTTGGGAGCAATGAAAGACAAATGTTGAGGAACTATTGCAGATTAAAAGAGATAATAAATCACAGTATATGTAAATCAGATCATTATGCTCTGCCATGTAAACTTTGGTAGTACTGTATGTCAATTATATCTTAATAAAACTGGAAAAAAGAGAGAGCCAGTGAAATCATGACTGTATCCTCTATTGGAGGGAAAATTACTCTAAAGGACATTATTGGGACATTTGACAAAATTGGATATGCACAAAATTAGGTAATAGAATTTCATCAATGTTAAATCTCTTGAAGTTGATCACTATACCATAAAAGAGTTATCTTTGCTCTAAGATGCACTGCTGACATATTAAAGGAGTGAAGGGGAATGATACTATTTGAGGGTAATTTGTGTATCACTTGAGCTTTCCTCATATTCCAAAAACAATCTCAAAACTATTTAGCAGTGGTTCTCCTTCCTCAGCAACGAACCGAAAGGGGATAGCATCACAAACTACTCTCAAATAGCTCAGGGGAAAAAACAGTGCACATATACTCACACACGGACTAATGAAGCATACGTAGCAAAATGTTTAAAGTTGGTGACTCATGGTATACAGGAATTATTTGTATTTTTGTAACTCTTGTATAAATTTGATATTATTTCAAAAGAAAAAAAATTAAAGCGGGGAGAAGGGGAAAAGTGTCATAGAGAAGGAGGCATTTGAGCTGCCATAGAGGCTCATTCACCAGGTGGAGAAAGAGGGTCAGAGGCGGATATGTGGAAAGCCATAGGGATGTGAAGGAGCATGGCTTATTTGCAAGTAGTTCAGTATGGTAATTTCTATGTCAATATAAGATGTTTAGAATGCATTATTTCAAATGTCTATAGACAGGTAGCTTGGATATTTATTTATCTGATGTTTATTAAATCTCACTGATTATTAAAATTCAGAAAATGTTTAGCAAATTAGTAGACTAAGATTATGGCAGAGCCACTCCTTTAGCTACTTCGATCACTAGGAAATCCTATGCTTGAAGTATCCTGAAATGTCCTTTAAATATCTTTTTTTTCTCACTCCTTGACAGCCTTTAACTATAACATGGATATTTAGAAATGACATGGCCATTTATGTGTAAGAGTTTGAGCAGTCTTAAGATCCAATAGACTAGAAATTTAGTATCCTCATACACCGAAATAAAAAAGCAGCTCTCGGAGAGCCTGAGTGGCTCAGTTGGTTAAGTATCTGACTCTTGATATTGCCTCAGGTTATGATCTCAGGGTTGTGAGATCAGGCCCCGTGTCAGGCTCCACACTGGGCAGTGGAGCCTGCTTAAGATTCTCTGTCTCCCTCTCCCCTCCACCCCTGTTCTCATGCATGCTCACTCTCTCTCTCTCTCTCTAAAAAAACCAGTTCTCATTTTGGTAGAATCTTATTATTAGAAATAATTTGAAATTTGGATCAACAAAAGTAGTAAGAAAAAAACCTATAATTAAGCATTTTATATCATCAATATCCATATTTACTAAGGAAATATTTTAGAGTAGAGCTGAGAAGAATTTTTGTAAGAGATCTTTAAAGCAGCAAAATAAGTGATTTTGCCAGTAATTTTCACCTTTTGAAGTCAGAATGACCAAGCACTGATACTTTTTCAAACATCTTTTGGTATTTTGCCTATTTTCCCTTCATCCTTTCAATTTTTTATTTCCTAATCTAGAGATTAGATTTTATTTTTAATGATAGACACTTAAATTATTAAATTGCTGATCTTGTGATAGCAAGACTTCTACATGTATCTCAAAAAATATCAGATGGCTCTGTGCTCTAGGGAATAATTTCTAGGATATATACATGAAAAGTAATGGACCTAGGGGAGCCTGACTGGCTCAGTCAGAAGAACATGCAACTTTTAATCTCGGGGTGGTGAGATTGAGTTCCATGTTGGCTGTACAAATTACTAAAAAATAAACTAAAAAAAAAAAAGATAATGGACCTAGAACTCAGACAGTTTTTATTACTCAGTTCCTTGCTGAGGAATGGGGATCATTGCTGAATGGTTTTCAGACTGTTCTTGGAATATTAGAAAAATTGATCACAAAATTTCTAGTAAGGTAGTTTAAAATCATAAAATAAACTTAAATTTTTAACAATTTTCAGAAGGAAAAAAATTTTCAGAAAGAAGTGATTATAAGTTTTCCATGTTCTTGCATAAATGTATTTTTGTATCTGTATAATCTGTATATAATATCTATATAATTCTCCACTTTGACTTCTTCTGTCAAATTGAACATTGGAGCATCATCCAATCTGAATTATTTATCATAAGGTAAATTTTCTTCCACTTTGAGAGTAAGATAGAAGAAAAATTTTTGGATAAATCCAGTAGAGCCAGAGTTGTTAGAATTAATAATGTGAATTTATAAGCTTTTATTTCTAAGGGTTAATGAGATAGAATATTAACTTTTATGGTTTCTTGATACTACAATGGTTGAATTTTATGTTGTAAAAAATACCAGTTGAGGGGCGCCTGGGTGGCTCAGTTGGTTAAGCGACTGCCTTCGACTCAGATCGTGATCCTGGAGTCCCAGGATCGAGTCCCACATCGGGCTCCCTGCTCGGTGAGGAGGCTGCTCCTCCCTCTAAAACCCTCCCCCCTCTTGTATACTCTCTCTCTCTCTCTCACTCATTCTCACTCTCTCAAATAAATAAATAAATCTTAAAAAAAATATATCAGTTGAATTTCACAGATGCTGTTTGCAGAAAAGTTTATGGTGGATTGGGGTGCCAAAGTTAGCATACTTGGTTATATTGTATAACAAAGATATACAAGCTTTTAGGCATTTCTGAAACTTAAGAACTTAATCATTAGAGAATATGAAATAATTTGTGTTTATCTCATTTGTAATTATTAACAAAACAACTTATAAGCTTCATGTTTTGCATATTTTAAACTATTTTTATGTATCTGGAAAATGTCCACATGGTTTTCACAGTTGCTTTTTTTTCTGATTGCTATGGCAGTAGGGCTTAGTATCTGTATTATATTTACATATGTAGAGAGAGTTGGTTTTGAGAGATCAGGTATACATAAATAAAATTGTAACTGGTTTTATTAAGTATATTTAAAATTCATTTAGAGTTTATATAATAGTTGTTGCTGTTTCCTCTTTAACTACAAGAAAGGGAAAGAATTAAGCAATGCAGGTTTAATTTTTGTTTGTTTTTCTTAGCAATTGAAAGCATGTAGTGAAGAGCAGGAAGACAGAGAATGTTTGAACCAAGCTATTACTGCTCTTATGAATCTCCAAGGTAGTATGGACCGAATTTACAAGCAGTATTCACCTAGACGCCGACCTGGGTAATTCCAAACTGTTGAAAATATGAATGCTTCTGCATATTTCATTTATATCTGATGCCTCATTTTCTAAAGAAGTGTTATTTGTAGTGATACGTGCATTCTTGAAAGTTATACTTCTGTTTTACATTTTTCTTTTGGTCTTTTAGTTGTGGAAAATTGGCATTGTCTTACTGTTAAGATATATTTAATAAAATTTTAAAAACTAAATCTAATAATTATATGTTATACAAGAAATTTAGGTTTCTTTGTAATTTTAGTTCATATGGCATTTGGAATGAAATACAGAGTTTCTCTAGTACTTCTCTTTCACAATAATGAAATTGAGGCATGTATCAGTTGTGGCAAAGTTAGTAGAAGAAAGTAAATGCTGTGTGCAAAATCTGGTGTTTGGTTATTTATAATATTGTTGTCACTTGATTTGAGGTAGTTCACAATTAAAGAAATTTGGGTTGCTTAGCCATTGAGAAAGCTAAATTTATCTTGATTTTTTTTTTTTTTTTTTTAGAGATCCTGTTTGCCCTTTTTATAATCGTCAGTTAAGAAGCAAGCATCTGGCTATTAAAAAAATGAATGAAATTCAGAAAAACATAGATGGATGGGAAGGCAAAGATATTGGACAGTGTTGTAATGAATTCATAATGGAAGGTCCATTGACACGAATTGGTGCTAAACATGAACGACATATTTTTCTCTTTGATGGCTTAATGATCAGCTGTAAGCCCAATCATAGTCAGTCACGCCTTCCAGGTTATAGTAGTGCAGAATACAGATTAAAAGAAAAATTTGTCATGAGGAAAATACAAATATGTGATAAAGAAGATACTTGTGAGTGCAAACATGCTTTTGAGTTGGTATCCAAAGATGAAAATAGCATAATATTTGCTGCTAGGTCTGCTGAAGAGAAAAATAATTGGATGGCTGCACTTATTTCTCTTCACTATCGTAGTACACTAGATCGAATGCTAGATTCGGTGTTACTGAAAGAAGAAAATGAGCAACCATTGAGATTACCAAGTCCTGAAGTGTATCGTTTTGTGATAAAAGACTCTGAGGAAAACATTGTTTTTGAAGACAACCTGCAAAGTAGAAGTGGAATCCCCATTATTAAAGGAGGAACTGTAGTGAAATTAATTGAAAGGTTAACATATCATATGTATGCAGGTATGTGAAACTCATTGTAAATGCTTACCTACCTAGGGCTGAGAATCTAAAGCTTTTCAGGGATGTTAAAAAATGCTTGAGGCATGGAAAAAATAGATTGCCTCTGAAATATAAAAAGAATTCTACAGAATCAAAAGGAATAAATAACTAATTAAATACCCCTAAGATATAATATTGTAAACTTCATTTATTATTAAATATTCATAAAAATTGTATGAATCTTGAATCAGGAAACAATCCTCATTTATCAAGAAATACCATGATTGACAGGAAGACCATGGTGGGAGGAACCAGAAAAAAGATAAAGGAAGGCAGGCCTCCCAAAATATGCTACTTTGAATTAATGAAACTGAATAAATTGAACATACAACCTGTTTTATACTGTCTTTTCAGATCCCAATTTTGTTCGTACTTTTCTTACTACATACCGTTCATTTTGTAAACCACAGGAATTGCTAAGCTTACTGATTGAACGGTAAGAAAAATATTTATTTTACTTACATTAACATTTCATAAAAAGTTAACTGTTTTGTTCCTTGCAAAGTGGTGGGTACCTAGCATATACTCAAGTTGTTTTTGAACATGATTTATTTGGCATTAAATTAGTAGTATTACTGTTCTCTTCAATGTGCTCATTAAAATCTCTCTTTATAACAGAGGTCTCTTCAGATCTTAGCAGTATTTATAGTAGTAACAGAAAGACCCAATTTTGAATATGTATTTTAATGATTTTTTTGTGCAATAAAACAATACTTCCTTAAAAGAGACTTTTTTTAATTTTTTATTATTTTTTTAAAGATTTTATTTATTTGAGAGAGAGAGCACAAGCAGGGGGTGGGGTAGAGAGAGAGGGAGAAGCAGACTCCCCGCTGAGGAGAGAGCCTGATACGGAACTGGATCTCAGGACCCAGGATCATGACCTGAGCTGAAGGCAGATGCTTAACCAACTTAGCCACCCAGGTGCCCTCCTTGTCACTTTTAAACAGACTTTTTATTAAGGAAAATTTCAAGACATATAAAAGAGTAAATAGAAGGGTATAGTAAGCCATCATCCAGCTTCTGTAATTATCAACCTATGTTTCATCTGTTTCCCTATTGACTTCAACACCCTAATCCCAGGATTATTTTGAAATAAATCCTAAACAACATATTTTATCTGTAAATATTTTCATTTGTATTTCAAAGGTAAGTATGCTTATTAAAAACATAATCACAGGGGCACCTGGGTGTGGATGTCGTTAAGCGTCTGCCTTCGGCTCAGGTCATGATCCCAGGGTCCTGGGATCGAGCCCCGCATCGGGCTCCCTGCTCGGTGGGAAGCCTGCTTCTCCCTCTCCCACTCCCCCTGCTTGTGTTCCTGCTCTTGCTGTGTCTCTGTCAAATAAATAAATAAAATCTTAAAAAAAAAAAAAAACCATAATCATAATCTCATTATTATACCTAAAAAATTTAACAGTTCCTTTATTATGATTAGATTTTAAAAATTAAATTTTGGATTGAGTTTTTCTTTTTTAGATAGTATCTGGGCTCCAAAATAATTTTGTTTCACATTTAGGGGCACCTGGGTGGCTCAGTCGTTAAGCGTCTGCCTTCGGCTCAGGTCATGATCCCAGGGTCCTGGGATTGAGACTCGCATCGGGCTCCCTGCTCGGCGGGAAGCCTGCTTCTCCCTCTCCCACTCCCTCCGCCGTGTTCCCTCTCTCCCTGTGTCTCTCTCTGTCAAATAAATAAATAAAATCTTTAAAAAAAATTTTTTTTTGTTTCACATTTAAAAAATTTAGTACCAGAATTTTATCTTGACCTGTGTCATTATGTTGTACTATGAAACTAAGTTTACCAGACTGAATCACTGTAATATGCTATGAAGATCTACTCAGTTGTATTTCAGTGTCCAAAATAAGGAAAGCACATTTCTAAGACTTATATTTTAGCTATTTTTCCTATGATTGGGCAAGATTTCTTTTTTTTTGTTTTAGCTTTTTGATTGTTACCTTATCCACTTTATGTTCTTCAAATATTGTTTAAAATTCAGTTGGAGCCTTCTCTTGTATTTATACTCATTTAAGGAAGTTTATGTCTACTTTCATTTTTTTTTTTTTTTTTTTTTAAAGATTTTATTTATTTATTTGAGAGAGAGAGAATGAGAGACAGAGAGCATGAGAGGGAGGAGGGTCAGAGGGA